GTTGATCTCCTCAGCCAATCCGTTGGCTTCGGGGTGTCGACTAGAAGTCCTGTTCAGTTTGATGTCGTAGATCTGAGATGTGAAGTCTTTCCAATCTTTGCTGATGAATTTGGTGTCCCAATCACTCACAATAGTTTTCGGGACGCCGGACTGCAGAATGTACTGCTGATGGAATTCTTATATGACAAGTTCAGTTGGGGCGTGAGGAGGGAGAGGAATCAAGTTCAGAAATTTGGAGAAGTGGTCCACAATGACCATGACTTGTAAATTCCCAGCCTCACTCACCTTTCCCATGTTCGTGAAGTCGATGGAAATCGATTCACCGGGTCCATCAGGAATGGGGAGAGGTCTCAGTACGCCATAAGGCTTATGCGTGTGGACGTTGATTCTTTGGCATACTTGACATTCAACAATGAATTTCTGAGCAGATCCTTTCATTCCCAGCCAATCAAATTGCTGCAGAAGACTTCCATAAGTCTTCTCAAAGCCAAAATGTCCACTCCGACCATGTGCCAAATCCAAGAAATGAGTTCGGAGAGGCGCATGGTTGGGTACACACAAACGGTCAAACTTCCCATACCGGCGGAATACAAGACCCTCGCATTCATGAAAATCAGGCTGACTGTTAGGGTCAGCCTTGAGCTGCTCAAGAATGGGACTGAGGTCCGGATCCTTGGCGGTGTGTTAAACCAGATCCTCCTTCAGTTTCCTTCGGAGGTCGTATGAACCCACAAGGCAAGTCAAGAATTCAGGATGGCGGGACAATGCATCAGCAACCCGGTTATAACAGCCTTTCTTATGTTTCAACTCAAAGCTGTAGACATCAATGTCATGCAACCAGCGGGTCAATGTAGGAGAGAGTTCAGATTGTGTCTGAATCCACTGCAAGGTCTGATGATCAGAGTTGACCTTGAAGTGGCGACCCAAGAGGTAGTGTTTCCAATGTGCGAGGGCTTCGCTCAGGGCGTAAAGCTCACGCATATATGTGGAAGTAGCTACCTTATGGCTGGGCATGCGTTTGCTGTAGTACTCGAGCGGACGCAGGCCATCACCATCATCTTGCTGCAGCACAGCACCAATCCCGAACTGGCTCGCATCCGTAGTAACTACGAAAGTGAGGTTGGGATCGGCAATGCGAAGCACATGATGACTCACCAATGCCTCTTTCAAGGCTTGGAACGCAGTCTCACACTTCTCACACCATGCATAGGCAACATTCTTGCTGGTTAGTCTTGAGAGAGGTTGAGCAATGACAGAGAATTTGGGCACAAACTTCCGGTAATATGAGGCCAGACCAAGGAAAGAACGCAGTTCGCGTACGTTTGCCGGTTGAGGCCAATTTCGGATGTCCTCAACCTTGGTTGCCTCTGGCTCAAGGCCGTTTGCAGACAACCGATGCCCAAGATAGATGACGTTGTCCCTCCCAAACTCAGATTTCTCCAAGTTGAGGTGCAGCTGCGCCTCCTTGAGGACCTGCAAAACTTCCTCAAGGTGCTTGAGGTGCTCCTTTATGGTTTTGCTGATGATCAAGATATCGTCAATGTACACAACCACAAACATGTTGAGTTGATGGCGAAGTACCTTGTCCATGAGGCACTGAAAGGTGGCCGGTGCATTCGTAAGACTGAAGGGCATAACGATGAACTCGTACAGCCCATCACGTGTCTTGAATGCTGTCTTGTGCTGGTCACTCGGATCAACTTCAATCTGGTGGTAGCCAGACTTGAGGTCGATCTTGGAGAAGACTTTGCACCCACCTGCCGCATCTAGCAGATCATCAATGCGGGGCAAAGGATACGCATTCTTTCGGGTGATTCGATTCAGGCCACGATAATCAATACACATCCGAAGTTTGCCTCCTTTCTTTGGTACAAACAAAACAAGTGCGCCAAACTCAGACTCGCTAGGCCTAATCCATCCACGATCAATCATGTCATCGATTTGTCTCCGCAGCTCCTCCTACTCGCCTTGTCCCATACGGTAGACGCAGCCCTTTGGAGGAACACTCCCTTCTACTATCTCGATCTTGTGTTTGACTGGACGCTCGGGTACTCCGCGAGGTTGAGCCAAAACTTCAGGAAACCGATCTAATACAAGGCGAATGTTCGTTGGGATTTCCGGTGGCGGATCATCCTCATCAGGGGAGAGAAAATCAGATCGAGAATTTACAGCAACCACAACCGGTTTCAAAGTATTTGGATCAGAAGTAGATTGATCATTTACAGTAGAAGTAAGTGGAACAGAAGTAGTAGTAGTAGAGGTAGAGTTACCTTCAGAGGTAGAAAATGCAGCAAAAGTAGAAGGCACATGGAGTGGTTTTACAAGGGCTATATGTACAAACTCAGCTTCCTTGCGCCTGCGCACTGACCTGCAGAATTTGTTAGCACTTAGAAGAGTCACAGGGGAATCGCGCGTCTCATCTAATAAGATGGTACGCTCGTTCCCCTTGGCATCAAGTACCACGAACTGATTGTCCGCCCACGTGGTCCTTAGGCAATGAGCCTTTAGCCAGCCCAAGCCAATGACCGCGTCGAAAGGACACTTATCCAGGACATAGAAATTCAGCTCATGTGTGACAGTGCGGACTTTGTCAAAGGTGATGCGCACACCTTTGACAGCATGAGTGGAAGTGACAACCTCTTGGTTGCTCACTTGAGTCCGGCAAGGGTTCTACAGTTCCACTTGCTTCATACCCAGGCCCGCCTTACGAATCCCGTTCGGAGAGAAAAAATTACTGGTCAACCCACTGTCAATCAGCACACGGATGTATCGGCGGTTAATGAGCAGTTTCAAGAAAGTCAGCTCCACGCTCCCCTGAACACGGCGTTGCTGCTTGAGCTGCAGCCAATGTTCCATGTGGGCGTGGAGGTCAACTTCTCTAGACTCCTCCCAAGGCTCCGTGTATAACACTTGGACTGCACCAGCCTCGAAATCAGCATTAGTTCGGGCTTCAAGAGCAACCTGCTGGCCAGATCCAGGCTCCTCGGAAGGGACTGCAACTGACTGCTCAGCTTCCTTTGTTGTAGAGAGTGCTGATGACTCCTCTATGCCCCTTGCCTGTTTCCCTGAAGACGATAGCAATCCTGCACGGAATGCCCAGGCTTTTGACAATGCAAGCATATGTGCAGTTTGGACCGTCTTTCCCATTCTTTTTGGCTGATGTGGAGGGCTTCCCAAGGCTTCGTAAAAGCGTCCTCTGGTTTCTCAGGGATCTTAGCATTTTTGGGAAGGTGTAAGACAGTTCCCTTACCTGAACCACGGTTAGGCCCCTTATTTGAAGCAGTCTTTCTGAATGCATTAAGTTTCTCATCATCATTTCTGTCACACTCAATGGCTGAAGTGGAACAGCCCGTATCGGAGTCCGGCTCTAGATCGTCATCTAGAGACAGATCATCCGCATAGGACTGATCGTCAGCCTCCCGATGATCATGCAGTGCAAGCTGGTTGCTGCTTCCAAACCGCTTGCGTTGTGGTTTC